AGTAACGATTTCTTTTCGAGTAGACATTTGATGTCGAGATACTTTTCTAAACGCGAAAACGCGTGTCATACATACAGATAAGATTGAATTGAAAAGCGTTAAAGGGGAATCGATAAAATCGCGTTGACGCTCCGGTTTTATGCCTGCGCCTCGCCGTGAACGGGGATCGGTAAGGTCGGTGCGAACGAGTTGACCCGTTTTTCAGGCGTCCCTTTTTTGCAAATTAGTCACAAACTCGTCGCGATCCGAAACTCGTCTGGAGGTCCTAAAAGCCGCCGCTATGATGCACGCTCGGATCTCTCGGATACGGAAAGAAGATGTGTGTAACCTCCCTTTCGAGATCTATAGATCGATGATATTAATTCAACCCGTTTGCTCTCGAGTTTTCAAATTATCCTCAAAATTCCATTCGTCTATCCATCTATCCATCCATTTGTCCATTCATCCCATCAATCCATTCATCTATCCATTTTATTCATCCATCCATTCATTCATTTAGCTATCTATCTATCTATTCATCTACCCATCCATTCTGCCCTTCAGATCGTTTTAGAAGCGAAACGTATTCTCTGATCCTACATACAATACCTTTAGACTGCTTTCTCCCATTTTTACTTTTGCTTGCTCCAAATATCTTTCCTCTTCTGTCTTTTCTTCTTTTTGTTCTTATTTTATTTTCTCACGTTGCTATCTTTCATCTCTATATGCTATATGATGCATATTTGCAGAATTGATTAAATAATTATAAATTCAAGCGATCTAAAAAAAGGTAATATTAATTTCTGCATTTCTTATTATTTATTATCTTTTTTTCATTTAAACAAATATTTCTTAAAGAAATAAATTCTATTAAAAACTATGATTGAAAATCTGAAATGCTTGTATCATTAAATATGAATTTGCAATTTTTTTCCATAAAGTGTTTACTTTTATATAGTGGATCATACTTTTTAAATACTTGTAAAGTTATCTAATTAATTTTGTTTATTTTTCAATAATATCGATTCCTTAGATTAATTTAACCAAGGCCGTCTTTATGATCGCAGTGTGCTATTACTAATAATGAAAAACACAAGTTGTAAATATTATTTTATTATTAAATTGATAATTATTTTATCTCTCAAATATTCATTATCGACTTGATTTGGAGTTTATGGAAAGTTTAGATCGCTTTAATTAGTCTGTTCATTCTCCGTTCTAACATCTTTTTCAGCTAACTCCGACAATCTTAACTCTTTGCAATTCTATATCACGTTAGAAACATTACCGTATATCTCCATGTTGCTACGATGTTCCGCACGAAATTATATACTTTTAACAACATGGAAATTAACACGAACATCTGTATCTAATCATTTGAACTAACTATAATAAATACTTAAATGCACACTATATGTTAATAAATTATTTAAATAATTGATTGATAATTTATTAATGCTTAAATTTATATCAGATTTATGGTCGATGACCATATCTGTAAAGGATTTAAACGTGCAGTAGTGAAAGTATTAATTTGTCAAAGTTTTAACTACTTTTTTCATTATTCGTGATTTGGATTGCAAGAAGTTAAACTTCCTCCGCTTTTCACACGCTCGGATCTTCCGTTCGAGGATCAGTTTCTTGAGTTGTTGTAGAATAACGCGAGCCACTGCTCTGTTACCACCCTCTCCGATTACGTCCTCTTGCCACGTCCTGGCACGCAGTACTATGTTCTTTTATGCGATTCTATACAGGCGCCAGATATGGGTCGTCGAGCGTTCCTGCTGCGCCAGGAACTGACAACTACGGCGGTGGGCCCCAAAGGGGTTATACAGGATCCACGTCGAGCACCAACAATTATCATCCTTATCGTCGCTAAAAAGGAATGAGACAAGAGAAGCCTTTGTCTCGGCTCGAGACTCTCCTTCCCCCCTTTTTTTTGTTGCTAACGTACATTCGTACGCATACTTACGAGATACTTTAATACCGGTAATAGAAGACACATGCTCTATTTTACTTTAAGTCTACGTTGGAGAAACCCGTGGACGGAAAGAAGATCGGCGTATATGGTATAACTTCGTGGGACGTGCGGAATGCGCGGCGAACGCGCAATTGAAGAAGGGGCAACTTATTGTGTTTGCCGTAAATTTGCCCGACTTGTATAGGTGTACACAGCAGAGTGAAAGAGAAAAATTGCGGAACTCGCGACGAAAAGAACGTAACAGCGATGTCAAGTAGATTTAAGGGTTTTATACGACACTTCATTGATTGGTGCCACTCGCGAGGTCGTATGTCGGAGATACTTTTATGTACGTGCAGCGAACTCCCGATTTGAAGTTGAGAAATCGATTTTAGACCACTTGACTTTTCGTCCTGAATACATCTCGCGTACCTAAGACGCATCGTTCGAACTTTCGAATGTAGTCAAGAGAATGCCACGATTTTTATCAATCGAAATTGGACATTATAATCGCTACTGATTATTTTCTACAAATTTCTAATTTTATATATTGGATAATTATAAAACATGCGAGGTGTGATGAAAAAATATGGTGAGTGTTGAGGTAAGAAGAAACCTATTGCATTAAAATACAAATTATAATTAGTCCCCCTCAACATACTTTTCCTCGCTTTTAATACATTTATCCCATTGCTCTTGTCTCTTGCTAAAGCAGTACTGGCAATTCTCTTTCGTAAGTAGTTCATAAACGTTTTGAATCAATTCAAAACATCGAGGCAGCCACGACAGCGCAACTAAAGTCACTTATGAAAGAGGACTTCCAATACTGTTTTAGCAAGTGGCAAGAACGATGGGATAAATGTAGAAGCGAGAGGGAATATTTTTGAAGGAGATTAATTGTAATTTATCTTTTAATGTAATAAGTTTCTTTTTATTTCAATATTCACCGTATTTTTTTATCACTCGTATATATAATATGAAATATAGTGATATTATATATACAAGATAATGACGATAACTTTTCTACAAAAAGTTCAAACTTTTCCCAGTGGAGTAACTTTTAAACAATCTAAACTTGCGAAATCTGATGCATTCGTTGACGAATAACTCGTGAGGACTTATCAATGATCTGTCATTAATAAATTTTTGGCAGGTACAAAACTCTTAAAGCGATTAACTTCTTTGTATGGTTTTTTAATTTTTTTTTTATTATTTCGAAACACATGCACGTTTGTATGTCCTGCGTTCGGATTAGGCGGCAGACACGAGCGAGCTCGGCGTCTGGTTTTTCAAGGCGGTGGGCAAAGCCCACCGAATAGCTTGCAAACGCATATTAACGTCGCTGCACGATTGAGATATGCACGCAAGTTGAAACTGTACCGCGGACTAGTGTAAGAAAAAGCAACACGTCTTTAGCCTTACGTCTCCCTTAATCGAAAAGCGCTGTAAAACAACGAGGAAACAATCAGTCGGACCGGCAACAAACCATTGCGTTGTAGGAATACGTGACAGCGATACCGTAAAAGGACAATATCTTTTTTTTATCTGCGTGCTGTCTAGCTCGGGAGATCGACTCTCTCTCTCTCGAGGACTCCGGTTTATTAGGTTTATTCTCAGCGGACAGCATTCGTCCTACCGTGATAAGTCTCTTTCGAGTTTTTCACTTTCGTTTGCGGACGATCAATTTGTCGCTTCCACCTCTCCGCCCCCCCTCCCCCCTCTTACGTGTTTCTTTCCATCTATAATTGTCGCGCGCGCGACGACAGCGTTAGAATACAGAACCTAATACTTTCTTTTTTTCGATTTCTGCCGTAGGAAGTTTATTTACTAGGCGTCCTGTTCAATTTACTGACTGGATGACGTGAGGCTTGTGGACTCGAGGTAAAAAAGAAATGTGAAAAAAAAAACGCGTGTGAAGTTTAATTGCATTGTGAGCACATATATGACCCGATTGTTTCGACGCGATCTTCTCGATATCTCTTTTTTAAATTTCCTCTTCAGCGGTTCGCCTCGCTTAAAAAGTCTCAGCATCCGGCGTGAATACTTTTTTTTTCCCCGATTCTTAGTTGAATTCGAAATCATGTTCACGTAGGGGAATTAACATTGTCGTCTGCAACGTTATTAACGAGAATGCAACAGTGCATCGATTTGCGTGATGGATATTATTTACGGATTATTTATTCATTTGAAATAGATTGCTTTTTTGAAAGGCATGGAAGAGTGTATCGTATACAGAAATCCGGAAAAAAACCGAACTAATTTATGCATTTTGATATTTTGAAAGTACGTTCGAATCTGCATTTGTTTTATAGACCTCTCACCGTTATTTCGAGACCTTTCGCAAAAGACGTCGTAACGAATGCGCAGATTGTCCTGCAGCAAAAAAAAAATAGCATAAGGTCAAAACGCCAAACGTATTTACTAAAATTGCGATAGTGGTCTAAGAAATAAGAGTAGTGTTTTAGATAGACGGAGATAACATTCATACGCATATACAATTATACATATTACGCATGTAATCGACTGTAAAATAGGGGATGAGGAAAAAAAGTAGGCTCTCGAGTGCGTCTACGAGATGCGCATTGACTTAAGTTTCGTGATGCACCTGCGTACATCCGCGATAAATTTTGAAAGAGATCCCGGAAGATTTGCGACAACGAAGGAAGACACGCATTAGGATACGGTCGTATTGTATAACGCCTGTAATGATAACATTGACTAAAAGAGTCTCATAGAATAATCCGTCGCGGTACGACTGCTGTTGATGGCACCATCTCCCTTTCTACTATTCGCCACTTCGATACTATATTATTGTTTATAGTATTTTGTTATATACTGCGAACCAAGAAGCTAGCGACAAAATGCATTCTTTTATAGTATAGAATAATTGATATTCCGGATTAATAAACGTTCACATTTTAATAGAAGCACTTGGAGTTGTCAGTTACGAATTATCCCGTCACTTTGTCTTGCTCGTCATCCTACCTCGATCTTTTCTTCCCTTCAGCTCGATTTCCTGTTTGTAATTTCGGGAGTGAAAGATGCGTTCTTTCTTGAAAAATTGAATTTGTTTATCAGTACAATTTATTACAAGTAAAAATAATTTTATAAATCTACTTTTGTTCTACACATATATCACATATATCACATAATTTATATAATGTTTGCAACAATGATATAATACGACGATATACAGAATACAACGATTTATTACATCAAGACAAGATATGTACACATTGTTGTAAAATCGTACTTTCAGAAAGCAGCTTCGGAAGTCCATGATTTCTTTTTAATCCATGCGGTAAGTATTTAATTTCTACGCTATCTTCCGCATTATCGCTTTATTAATAATTGATTCAATTTTATGAAAGAATTAGGTACAGACAAATGCAGAAAAAGTATTTTCGCATTTAATTATTCTCGATATTTTTTAATCACGTATAAGTTCGTCAACGTTATAAAATTATATAAGCTAAATATGATGAAGAGGAAATGACTTGCTTTCTCGCTTACAAATTTATATATTACGCATTTGATTTCGTGTAAAATAAAAAAAAATTTCATAACTTTTAACTTACATAATTTTGCGAGATGCAAGATAAAGTACGTATAATGTTGTCGTTCGTAGTTACGTCTAAATTTGTAAGTTTCAGATATGTAGATTGTCTCTCTTTCGAGAACCGTGCAGCGATAATCGCTATCGATTTTATATTATATTCTTCATTCGAGGTCTAATCTCTAATAAACTGTTATCACATCGAAAGCCCTGCAAAATTTACTCTCACACTTAATCTATGCGTTTATTAATATTATTTCGAAGATTCTCTACGTTCGAGTATTACTTTGATTTTACAATTGTACCGCTTTTTTTCGATGGCTTCTGTGTACTAACTGTACTTTTTGTCTCTACCAAGTTACGGACAAGTTTCTCTCTATAAAAGAATCGCGAAGGTAAAAACGGAATCGTGATAGAGTGCCTGAATTAAGATTAGCTTAGGACGGCTTGATTTCGTACGTATAATTGTTCAAATACTTCATTTCAAGTATCCTTCTTTTTACACGTATTGTTTGTATATAATTCAGATACCTTCTTGATTGTTGTCACGTCGTGTAAATGATATTGTTTAACCCGGTGACGATGTAGCGGGTCCATAGATTTTTTTATTCTACAGCGAATGAAGCTACTGTATGTACTTAAAATCTTCAATCAGCTTTTCTTGAATACGACATGATAAGACAGGATATGCAATCCGCCTGGTCCAAAAATTTGTTAAGTAATAATTCATTTCACGAATTTTGTTTTGGATTTTTAAATCATGTGATTTTTTTATATATAATACCGATAAATTAGCTTTATTGACGACGAGTTAGCCTTATTCACGTAGATTCGAAGTTCAAACGTTAAATTTTGACTAAAAAAATTTGTATGTATCGATATAAACTCCGTGTCGAATTACGTTATACCTGATTATATATTTTGTAAAGAAATTCTTAGTCTTTCAAAATGATAGTGACAGCTATATCTGCGTCATAAATTATACTGGTTTGTTAAATTCCTAAGAATTTGCGTAACATTGCATGTCGTTGGTACAAAAGGCATTTACATACAACTTCGTATATACTTTTTTTTTATCTTCCTCGTAAATCCTTCGTTAATGACGTTTACCAAGTTCGTTGAACTCTCCCCATTACAATACAGGTAAGTTTTCAGCAACAACAGCTATTACGTCGTAAAGTACGACATCCATTCGTTCTCATATGTATGTGTGTGTGTGTGTGTGTTTGTGTGTAAAATTTACGTATGAGCTTGGCACTTGTCGATATTCACGCGATGGAGCATTTATGACAACGTTGCCCTTTCGATTTCGCCTTACCGTCCTCCCCCTGCTCCATCTGTTTGCGAACCGAATCTGCAAAATGAGTGAAATGGAATTTCATTGCGGGAAATAGAATGAACAAATAGAATTTCACTGCAGGAAGTCAATATGAAATTCAATCTTAAGATATATTACGTTTGTTATTGTTATCTCTGTAAACGCGTCAGCTGCGCGCTGTAATCCGTTGTAATCCCTATGAATAAGGGTTATTTTTACTGCTCGCGGTAAGGAGTTTGTTGAGATAACAATCGGCTACATAACTATATAGTAATGAAAAAAACGGATTTCTATATATATATATATACCGGCAACTGCTTTCTTGTCCACCGCTGATAAAGCCTCGCAGAGCTCTTTCATCAGTGGCACGTCTGGACTCAGTCCGGAGGCCCAGATCATTAACATTCGAAATCCGTGCTCCTTGTAACTCGAGGGACCTACAATTGGGGCTTTATCGTCCTTTTCATAAGGCTGTTCTATATATAGGAACGCATTATAGGAACATCGAGGTACAAATTCACACGTACAATCCGCAATTAATTTTACGATCATTTTTATCATATGTTACTATAAGAATTTTTATTATATTTATTATATGAATGCATGTTTATTAATATCTTCCGAATTATTATCTGAATTATTATCCGTATTATGAGTAATCTCATATTTTGTACCTCGATGGCTTAGATCTAAGTTTCCAAAATGATTTTTATTTCGCGACTACTTCTTTCTATCTTTAAATGACAATGATTTCTAAAATTTTTAATTATGAATTTTAATTAATATCCGAAAGAGCTAATGATATAAAATATGCATTACAATAAGTATGAAAATCAGACATATGTCAAATAATTTTGATGTTTCTTTTGAGAATGGAATAAATTACGATATATAACGTTACACATCGATTTACCCGTATACTGATGCTCGATAGCTTTGATCTGTTCGGGGGTGAAGGTCCAGTGAAGGGCTAATTTCTTCCAGTCTCCAGGTGCCAGCTGCTTGTAGGCCAACTTCCAAAGAACGGATCGCACTTGTTCCGAGAGGCGGCCGTTGTTGCTGGAGATGCTGCCACCGCGCGATCCTTCCCTCCACCATCTTCGCGCCGGAGTCAACTCTCGTACCTCCTTATCAGAATTTGAGATCTCCTGAATTTCAATTTTTTTTATTTTTGTTATCTTATCTAATTTTAATTTAACACGCACAGAACAAATAGAATGTAGTGAAACAACATATTCGTGTTGTTTCATAATTTAGACTCGCATCGAATTTGTGTTTTTTTAATTGAAACTATATTTAAAGCAATATAAAATTTGCATGGAACAATGGATAAAATAATTCAACAAATTAATTTAATAAAAATACTCGTATAGATATTGCCACACAAGCAATCTAAAGAAATTGAAATTGAAATTTTTTTACGATTGAAATTTGCGAGATATTGTTACCATCATATTATTTGTGCTTTTTTTTTTATCATCATCGAAGTTTTAAGGTAGCTCGTAAAGATAGCTTGACGTTCAAAAGACATTTAAGCGTCAAGCTAGGATAAGCCGCAGGTCAAAAGCGGCGTCTACCCAGACGCAACATGAAAGGAAAGGCGATCGACGCTGAACGAAATTCTTGTAACTTACGACGGGTGTGTGTGTGTGTGTGTGTGTATGTGTGCGTGTATGTACCTACCGGGATCGGATAATCCAATCTGGCGGTCTTAATGATCATGTCGACGATGGCCGTGAAACTGCCCCTCGCCGCAATGTAAAGTGGCGTACGGCCGCTCTGCAAACGTCAGGATAAACTTCGGTTTAACTTTATTATCGAGTTTGCGACGGTTGCTGTCGATCCGGCACCCCCTATCGCGTTAACCGCAGCGCGCGCTAGCTGCTGGATCTACGAATAAGGCGTTCGGGATTCGGGGCTTTCTGCAAATAGCGCGAGTCAATTTCCACGTGGCACGTGTCGCATATTGTCGACACAGAAACGACACCCCCCCCCCCCTCGTGCCGTGCACATGCGACGGACTTTTCGTCCAATGTGTTAATCAAGAGTGGGATGTTATATTATTGGAGCTTGTGTCGTGAGATTGAATCTTTTATAGCACTCTCTTATCATCTTGCAGCGCTTCTACCAAGCAAAAAGTTGTAAGGAGCAGGATATACGTCGAGGTAACTTAAGTCATTAAAGTTTCGTCATTTTGCACTTCGCACGTGCGAATTCCCACCAAGTTTCTAATTTTTTATTTTGCGGGTATAAATACTTTTTATTAATATCACCGACATTTTTGTAACCGCTGGTCGGTATTTAGCTTTGTTCATTATGTGGAACTAATATAGTGATTGCTAATAGTCTCACGGTAATCACGTTATCTTGATTGAATTTAAAGCATTGCAACGTTAGGAGGTCATCGTTAAAGCAGATCTGTTAATTAAGCCAGACCATAAAAAGAATCTAATAACAGGCAATATTCAACAGTTACCTTGTTAGCTTGTAACAATATTTCAGCGTTTCACTTTGATTTGCAGAGATTTAATTAGAGTAGCTTTTTAATTAACTCCTGCATCTCTGCGAAACTTTCTTTCTCACGTCGTAAAAATTGCGATTTAACTTATCAAGCGGAAGCAGTAATTAATTTATAAGTAAAGTTTAATTGATTATTGAATAATTTGTGCTCGATTATAATTCTGCCGTAATGCGAGGCTCTAAATTCATACTCATTCGATAACGAGACAATATCCATAAATGATTCATTCAAGCATCGATAATATGGTTTATATGGAACGCAAACGTATTCAGTTAATTATATCGTCAAAGGATATAACGCGATAATATTCAGTTTCACCTACGTTGTCCAGTTCTATCTACGTTGAACGGCATTTACCTGTTCTTTCTGCTCGATATTCGCACCTGCCGCAAGAAGTAACTCGCAGATATCCGTATGTCCCATCTCGGCCGCAATATGTATGGACGACTGTAGCCTCTAAAAAGCAAATCGATAGGAGATGGAAAAATCAAACAATCCATGTTGTTTCAGGTTTTCCGATATCGAATGTCGTTGTAAAAATTGTAATTTTCAGCTTGGAGATTGGCAAGCGTAACATTGCTCGCGTTACGAGCTTGTGCAATCTCTTATTTCTCGCGGCATTAAATAATATACGATGATTTTATTAAGAGTTTATATGAAAATGTAGTCCAGTAGATTTACGTACCAGATTCAAACAATTGAGATCGACGCCTTTGTTAATTAATATCTCTACCGTTTCTACTTCGTTGTTTTGGCAGGCCAGATGCAATGGTGTGTTACCGTTCTGCAACAAATAACGAAGAATATTCCGTGACGATCCATGTATTTTTGCCTCGGTGAAAATTCCTTCGCGCGTCTTTCTTTTCGTCGATTAATCTTATTCATTGCATCGCGATTACGTGCCCGCGATCGAACGCGCCGAGGTATTTCGTATACACGATAATGCATCTACGAAATATTGTTAGCCGTCGTTATGCATGCAGCAGTCTCGGCACGGATTATATTTGGAAATACGGTGGTATATCTTTACCTTACACTGCTTGTTAAGATCGGCCCCGTGCTGAATCATGGAGTCGAGTATTCCTTTGCAACCCTGGCTTGCGGCGACGTGGAGAGGAGTGAAACCCTCCTGGAGATAGTTGATATAGATTAATCGTACGAAATAATGACCACGTGATATACGAGGTATGCGTTACAAAATAATGATCTACCGTACGATGAAAATTTATTTTTATACGATTTATCCACACACGAATACGAAGCTTTATCCGTTGAGTAAAAATGTATAGGAATATTAATAAAACTCGCTACATCAGGAATTATTCTGCATTTTTTTCAGTTATTTTGAAAATTTAATATTAACGTTTTTGGGTTTATACGTGTAATTCCGTTTATCCCAGTGTGAGCCCTCGTTCTTTTTTTATCTGTCCTATAGTAAGTGGACGTAATCGCTCAATTATTCTATTTACCGCGTCGATTAGCTCGGTGTTCGCCCCGGCCTTTAATAATAATTGCGCGATCCCTGTGTGCCTCGTTCTGGTAGCTACGTGAAGCGGGGTGTTGCCGTCGTTATCCTGGGCGTCTACGTTCGCTCCTAATCCTATAAGGACCTCAACCGCGTCCAAATGCTCCTCGGCGCAGGCACAGTGCATCGGCGTTTGTCCTTTCTGGAAGTGAATCCAGATGGGGGGAAAAGTTCAATTAGCGCTCGAGCGACTTCGATATGTATTTTCATTTATAAGAAAAAAAAATGCGACTATCACATATTTTCCCGTACTTGCGACATAGGTCGCTCTTTTGATCTCTAGCACTGACACATATGCATCTCTCAATCATTTTCAAAAGCAAGTAGAAAGAATTTAAAAGAAAAAATGATTTAGAGCTCATCGTTCAAATAATAATATTTACGTGAAAGAAAACACAACATTTTTATATGACATACTCTGCATACTCTTTGCAGTGAATGATAGAAAAACATGTTATTTTAGTTTCTCTTGTTTTGCAGAACGTTTATTCAACGAATGAAAACTCCGTGTGGAGTGACAGAGTAATATTTTTCGTAAATTTCTTGAACCATATTACATTTTACAAACTTTTGGCAGTGACACGATGTTAAAAACGGCTTGTTTGAAAACTCTAGATATTACAATAGTTTTATTAGTTCTAAAGGTGTCCCTCTGTCTGATTATCCGTTACATTCGTTGCACAGGTTGCACGTGTGATCTAACATCGTGCAATATCTTGAACACAATACAAATTTGCGTCATTAGAGTTATCTATAACGACGCCTATCAATCTTATTGCAGGAAAGGAAAAACTAAGAGAACTCTTTTATTTAAAGAAACTTTTGGCAAAAGTTTTAGTCTGCAGCGGTACTATATATCGGCATTGCAGTGTTTGCAACGAAAGCTAAACGTCCCATTGAGACATCTCTTAGGTAAATTCGTATCAAATCAATCCACTTCCGATATTTTCTGTTACTACAAATAACAGATTATCAGATATATATTTGCAATATACATTAATAATTGCAAATTATTGTAATTTGATACAGAATTTCGGAGGGATGAAAGTGACAGAATAAATGTTATATTGGAATATCTTTCGAAGAGACCAATTTAAAATTATAAAATTTATTAAAAGATATAGAGATAGATATTTAATAGAAATTATATAATACGAAATTATGGTAATTAGAATTATAGAAATTTGGTAATTATCAATTATTATATATCAATTTTTCAGGAAATATTAATACGTGATTATTGTTACTCGCAATTATTTCAATAGACCTTAGTTTTTTCAAATCGGCTTTTTGCAATCGACATTAAATAGATATTTCCGATTTAGGGTGGTAATAATTTAATAGATTCTACGAGAGAGAGAGAGAGAGAGAGAGAGAGAGAGAGAGAGAGAGAGAGAGAGAAATTATAAGACAATTATAAATTGAAGGACTTGTTGTAACAATGGGCTAATTCACATTTGATAATATTTTATAAAAACTTTAAAGTAAAGAAAAAGAAAAAATGAACTCTAAGGTTCATCGCTTTAACTTTGTAGTTTATTTTCTCTCCATTGTTACAAAATGTGAGTCAGCTCACATTTGTTGCAGCAAATCTTTCAATTGCATCGTTAGAGAATATTGATATGTACTTATCTTTATCCACAATTATCCCAATAGATCCTACGGCTTTACTTAATCGGCATCAAATCGATATTTTCAAAGGGATAGAAGTGATTGATTGCCCAAGAATGATTACAGCAAGCCGGGCGGCGTGTAAAAATGGAGCGGACCGCCGCGCCTATCTCTTCTAAGGGAAAATTAGAATTCCGCGCGCGGCAACGAGGAGAATCGAGAAGGGATACGCGAGTAAATTGAATGAGAAAGCAAGTATCCAGGATACGGGGAGATGAGAGTCTGTTTACAAAGGCTTCCGTAAAATGTACTCAAGCTGACGATTGGTCGAGTTTCACAGTCGCGGAGACCCTCCTCGGGGATTGCGCTTGCCTCTCGATAAGGGCACTATGGCAGTCGACATTG